ACTTTGGAGCGCGCCCCGGCAGGATGCCCGAGATCAGGGTCACTCCCTTGGGTGAGTGAGGGGCCTGCGGCCGCCACCTCGCGGGCGCTGCCCCGGGCGGTGGTCTGGGGACGTGCCCTAGGGGCGCAGGGGACCGGCCTCCTTCCCAGAGCCGAGGTCACGGAGGCCTGGGGCCACTGCTCATGCCGGCTCAGGCCCTTGGTGGAGAGAGTGCGGGCGATGGCTTTGGGCTCACGTCCTGGCCACCTCGCCTTGTCCCATTTTCCTCACAGTGAGATGAGGACGAGATCGCCTAAAGCGGCCCCGAGCGACGCCGCCTCCACACCTTATTTCCCTTTGCACGCGGGCCGGTGCCTTTGCCTCCTCACCGGCCACTCTCCCTCCACCCGCGTCTGTCTCGCGCCCAGGTTCCCTGCAGCCTCCCGTTTACCCAACCTGGTGGTCTGCCCTCAGTTCAGCCCTTGTTTTAGTTGGCCTCTGCAAGGTTTAAAGTAGCTTTGCCTTTTGCAAAACATATAAACGTGCACTTTGAAAAGCCGGAACAGTCCAGAACAGTAAGGAGTGGAAAAGATCACTCAAATCCAGGGACCCAGAAACAGCTGGGGTTGTCATTCTGACAGCTGAGGTGGTCATTTTGGTGGCTGGCCCTCCACATCCCATTGGGCTTCTTCCCGCTCACGTTCTGTGTGCTGTTCCAGCTCCTGTCTTTGTCACTGGGCTGTCGAGAGCCCCTTCCGCTGCATGTCCCTCCACCTGCACATTCTCATGCCGTGAGCTCTCTCCGAAATAGCCCACCAGCTCCAGTGCCGACACTGACCTGTTGACAGCCGCAGCGAACGCCACTGCCCTTGGCCAGCAGGGTCAGAGCACACAACCCACGCTGCCATAAGTGTCGTCAGCCTCACGGCCTCTCCCAGCCGTTGACACAGGGACCCCGCTGGCCACTGTGGCCCCATGCCCTCCCCTCCGGGGCCTGTGCAGGACCCCTTTCCAGCCCCTTTCCCATTTGACTCCTTTTTGCTGCTCGCTCTGCTCAAATAGTCCTTTATTCTGCCTCTGATACCCTAGTCTAGGTTCGCCTGGGTGTGCCGCCAAAGTCACCCAGCTTCAGTGTCATCGAAGCAGAACTGCTTCAGCTCCAGTCTCCCCTCACCAGTGTCTGCCTTACAGGATCCCTAGTCGCTTGGGCCAGATGTGGAAAGTGTCCCAGGTTACCTGCGCTGCAGGGCCTTTGCACACCTGCCCCCCTCCCCAGCTGTCCCTCTCCACCCTGCTTGCAAGTCATAAGCCTGCCATGGTTCTGGAAGTTTCCGTGTCCCCTTTCCTGCCCGACTTACCTCTGTGGTGCTGATGTCCACCTGGTGCACTTGGTGTGTGTTATCCACAGGCTCATCTGTCCCCTTGGCTTGGAGCGTGGGCTCCCTGTGCACAGGATGTCCCCTTTGCTTTCTCCTGTGCATCCTGGCTGGAGTGCCGGATGCACGCAGACAGAGCTCTTGGCTGGTGTCACTTGTTATTGTCATGGTGACACACTTCTCTAGGACCAGCCCACATCCTGCTCTGGGCCAAGGCCCTGTCGCCCTGGTGTGTGTCGTGCTAACAAGGTCCGGTGGCCAGCAGAGGGAGGCTCGTAGGCTCTAAGATGGAAAGCATGTCATCAGGCCCTGGCAAGGTTGCGTCTTTTTGTTTTTGGGTTCCCAGGCCCCAGAGGAGGTGACAGATACCCAGGATGTGCCCTGCTGGGCTAGAGCCGCTGGGCAGGGCTTAGAAGTCAGGAGCGTGGATGAGATTCAGATTAAGGTCTGGTCACCGTAGTTGGTCCTCACGGGGCATCTGGGGCCTGTTTCCCCACAGCTAGCCTAAAGCCACATGGGGAATCTCTGTGCTGGCACCACCAGGAGGTGCCTGACACCTCTCGAGAGCAGGTCCAGGGGGAGGGGGCCTCACAGCCTAGATGTGACCCCAGCCGAGGTTTCAGGAGGAGTGGCGAGGCCTGGTGTAGTGCCAGGTTGCCTCTTGGTGCTGGGACCACAGTCTAGCACCTGTTACTTGGTCCTGGCCTTTGAGGGTACCGGTGGGTCACAGTGGGTGGGCTGCGACCTTGAGGGGTGAGGGGCTTCTTCCATCTACTGACCCTGGGTGGTAGAGGCCGGGCCTGGGGCTGGAGGCACAGTTGGGGGGGACACTCGCGCTGGAATTCGCCTGGAGGGCTCGGCGCCTTGTCCCCTCCCCGCACATTTCCCTCGCCCACCAGCGTGTGGAGGGGGCGGCGGCGTCGCCTCACCGGCCCACGCAGCAGCCGTGGGTCATTTCCTGGCCCACTGAGGGCTCTGCAGGGACGAGGAGGGGCGGGAGGGCAGGGAGAGGTTTGGCAGCACCTTGCCCATCGCCCCTTCAGGAGCCGGACAGGATGTGGGCCGAAGCTGCATCCTGGTCTCCATTGCGGGCAAGAATGTCATGCTGGACTGTGGGATGCACATGGGCTTCAATGACGACGTGAGTCCTGTGGGTGGGCCTGTCGCCCTGCTCCCTCCTTGTCGAGGACCCCGGGACCCAGCGGGAGGTTCTGACCCATGGAGCGGGGGCAGTCGGGGCGACTGGGTAGTGGCAGGAGGTGGGTTTGGGGTCGCTGTTCCTGGGCAGCCCCCACCATCCCCTGGCAGAGGGGCTCGGGGGCTGCTGCAGGGTCGCGGGAGTGGGCTGGTGCAGGTGCTGGGTTCGGCTTTTGACCTGCTCTCTGCTCCCGGGGGCTGAGAGCGGGCAGCGCCCTGCCGCGGCGTGGGAGGGGCGCCGGCGCGCGGCCGCCCCCCGCACACCCGGGCGGCCGTCGCGGTCTGACACGCGCTCTTGGCCCCTCAGAGGCGCTTCCCCGACTTCTCCTACATCACGCGCAACGGCCGGCTGACCGACTTCCTGGACTGTGTGATCATCAGGTGGGCCCCTGTCAGCTGCCGGTGGCGGTGCTGCTCATTTCCCCCAGGAGAGCCGCTCTCGGCCTGCGGAGGCGGCCGGCCATGGGCGTCGCTGACCTGGGCTCTGCCCCGGGTTGCCTTTGTGGGTCACCCCGGGGCTGGCGCCTGCCTGCTCTGGACGCTGGCCCCGATGGCAGTGTCTTTGTGTGGTCGTGGGTGTTCACGCTGCTCCTTGGGCTGCAGTGAGCTCTGTGGAAGGAGGACAGTGCTGTGTATGCCTATCGGCTGTGTCCCCACGGGTTGTGGATGACAGCCTAGGTGACCTAGGAAGATGAGGCTATGTCAGGGCAGCTGGCCTGTGGCGGGGCGGAGGCCACCAGTGCACAGCTGGCGCCTCACTCGTTGGGACCCGGTCGTTCTCAGGCTCCTGTCAGTCAGCCTCAGCCATGTTTTGGTGGCAGTGCCTGCCCTGTCCCCCCTGCCAGTCCTCAATCCTCACACGCCTCCCCAGGCCACTTGTTCATACCGCCCCCGACCTCCTGACCTCCCCTGGGCGGCAGCCTGCCTCACCCCTCACATTCAGCGTCACAGACCTGTCTCAAGTCCAGCCATCTCATAACCCTGACCGTCACCCCATGGCCTGGTGACCACTCAGCCTTTCCTGCTGGCCCTCCACTGCAGCCAGAGACCCCTCGTCCTCAGCTGCTCTGAGGCCCCTGCCGTTCTGGCCCCTCCTCGGACTAGGGCTTCGTCTGTGGGTGGCATGGCACTGCTGTCCTTCTGCCCCCATGCCTTGCCAGGCCTCATCCCGCCTCTGTCCCCCCTCAGTACACGTGCCACAGGGTCCTCCCGACCACCCACCGGAGATGGCGGCTCCCGCTCTCTTCACGGAGAGTGTTCTCGTCCGGTGTCGTCACTCGCCCGCTTACTGCCGAGCCAGGCGCCTAGGCTGCGGGTCCAGGAAGGCGGGCGTGTTTGTCTCTTTGCCCCTCGTTCTCCAGTGCTTAGAACGGTGCCTGGCGCACAGTAGGCACTCAGTGAATGAATGAACCAACGGGCGGGTGGGTAGGCGGAATGACCCAAGTCGAGCTGGTGCGGGCGGTGGGGCGGGGTGGGGGGCGCAGTGGCCGGCTGACCATGCCGCACCCCCAGCCACTTCCACCTGGACCACTGCGGGGCGCTCCCCTACTTCAGCGAGATGGTGGGCTACGACGGGCCCATCTACATGACCCACCCCACCCAGGCCATCTGCCCCATCCTGCTGGAGGACTACCGCAAGATCGCCGTGGACAAGAAGGGAGAGGCCAACTTCTTCACCTCCCAGATGATCAAGGACTGCATGAAAAAGGTGGTGGCCGTCCACCTCCACCAGACGGTCCAGGTCAGGGTCTCTGGCAGGCACTGCGGCGTCAGCAGGAGGCGGTAGGGGGGCCCGGCCCAGAGGCGGCATTCGGGCAGGGGTGTGGTGTCCGCTGCCCCTCGCCCAGCTTTGTGCCTGAGCGCGTGGAAGAGGCTGGAGGGGCACAGGCTGGCGGGACGCTTGTACCGTCTGGGCACGGGGGAGCTTGGCGTGCTGGCCAGGGGGAAGGCGGGGCTGGACGGTGCGCCGAGCGAGCCCCGCGGGGCGCCCGGTGCTGGGCGGTGGACTTTGGGCTTCATCTCAGCGACGGTTGTGTGCGGGGCAGGGAAACGGAGGCCTGAAAGCGGGCGAGAGATGTCAAATTTGGTAAAATTTATCAGAGGGTGTGCATTTGACTGTTTCTCCTCGGAGTCTGCGTTCTGCTTGCCATTCTGTGCCTACACGTTGTGGGTCATTTTCTCCTGGTTAAGCATTCTGTCAACATGAAGTGTCATGTGTTTGTCTAGTGATAGTTTTTACCTGAAAGTCGTTTTTCTGGTAATCGGATGACACCATTCCCGCCTCCCCTGCCTTTGGTTAATGTTTGCACGGTGCATCTTTCTCCATTTTCTTTTACTTTCAGCCTTTATGTGTCACATTTTAAACGTGGCTTTTGGGAGTAGTGTGTAGTCTGGGTTGTTCTGAGCCCAGCCTGTTGCCTGTCCTTGGTGCTATGCACAGAGACCCTCCGGCTCGCTGCACCCTCGCCGGCGACACTCTGCTCTTCCTTCCTGTTCTGTTTGTTCTTTCCTTTATTCCCTTTTTGGGAATGATTTTTTAAAAATTGGTTCTTTTGTTTGATTGGCAGTTATGTGCTCTCACAATTGCCGTAGTGGCAGAGATGGTAAAATGCGACCATGCTGACAAAAGCCTAAGTGCTGCCTCTTTCCTGGACGGGGCAGGGGCCTCGGACATTTCCCAGCTGCCTCCAGAGGCTGCCGTTTCTGCGTGTTCTGGCTTTGTGTGTGCGCGTGCGCGTGTGCGTGTGCGAGCCCGTCAGGACGGCATTGCGGCCAGCAGGTTCACTGGGTGTCCGCTCTGTATTTCCCTTTCTCACTGCTGCCCTGTGCATGTGTCCCTTACTTCTTAACTTGGGATGATTGATCTGCCGGAAGAGCCAGCATGGGTCTGTGGGCGGGGGGTGGCCACTGCCTTTGCACAGTTGGCGGATGGCTCACCCTCTCTTGTGCTCCAGGACTGTTCTCATTAGCTACGGGGCTCCAGCTCGGCATTTGCTTTGGATGTACCTTCCCGGCCGCTGTGTGTCAGAACCTTTCTCTGGGGCAGCGTGCTGTGAAGGGCTCCGTGTTTTCTCTTACCTGCTCAGGGGCGGGACATCCTGTGTCCCGGCCTGGTGCCTTTCACCTGCCTCTCTCAGGGTAGCCCGTGCTGGTCCCCATCCTCTAGCTGGGGCCCTGGGGGGCAGGTGGGGGTCTCGCTCTAGGCTTTATCCAGCCTTCTGTCCTTCCGTCCTTCAGGCTGGATGCTTCCTTCTGTATGTGTCCATTCAGCGTTATCTTTGGTTACGTGTAGTGTGGTGTTAAACTCAATGACTGAATTCTTAATTTGGTTTATTGTATATAGTTCCTAGTTTTAGAATTTCCACTTTTTTTTTAAGTTTCTATTTTTTTGCCAATATTCTTTATCTTGCCTTTTATTTCTTCAAGTGATTTAATCACAGTCCTTTTAGAGTCTGCTTTTCCAGGCTGTTTTTTTTGTTTTCTATTCTCTAGTCTTGTCTTTTGGGTTTGGTTACTTTTGATTGAAAATTGGTGTCGGATGTGAAAACGAGGACGAAGCGAAAGGCGAGCACGTGCCATCTGCTCCTGGCCCCTGCTGCCCTCCTCCGCCCCCCGGCCCCAGCACAGCCCCAGACCTGAGCTCCGCCCTCCCTCTCCTGCAGGTGGACGAGGAGCTGGAAATCAAGGCATACTATGCGGGCCACGTGCTGGGGGCCGCCATGTTCCAGATCAGAGTGGGCTCTGAGTCGGTGGTCTACACGGTGAGTGGAGCGTGTGGGCCCAGGTGGGGCTGCCTGGGCAGGGAGAGGGGGTGCCTGCCTGATGCTTCCTTCTCTGCCAGGGCGATTATAACATGACTCCGGACCGGCATCTGGGGTAAGTCGCCTGTGTGTTTGTTTGATCTTCTAAAGCCCCACCCCGCCCCAGACACGCTGGGTGCCTGAGTGGTCAGCGCTCTAGTGTCCCCTTGTGTCCCCCATGAGAGTCAGAGTCTGTGTTTCCTGTCTCCCCTTGAGTGCTTCCCATGACATGTCACTGCTTGGCCCTGTGCAGAGGAGCAGCTGCCAGCCAGAGGGCCTGGCCAGGTTTGGGCTGGGGGCCAGTGCATCGCTCCCAGCCCTGTGGCATGTGGCCTGTCCACCTTGGGATATGACCCCCACTGTTCTAGAGCTGCCTGGATCGACAGATGCCGCCCCAACCTGCTCATCACGGAGTCCACGTATGCCACGACCATCCGCGACTCCAAGCGCTGCCGGGAGCGAGACTTCCTAAAGAAGGTCCACGAGACCGTGGAGCGTGGCGGCAAGGTGGCTGGCGCGGTGGGGGCGTCAGGAAGGGCCCCGGGCCACGTGGGCACCGTGGGAGGGAGGGCTGCCCACCCCGGGGGGAGGAAAACTCCCTCCGGCCCTCCCAGGGGCACTTGTTTGCCCTCAGGTCTCAGACCCCAACAGGGGTTGGCCGGGGCACCCACCGGGGTCACTTCTGGGTACATCGTGCCTGGGGGCAGGAGTGGGTGGGGCCCCCCGCTCTCAGGTTGCCCGGCCATGACTTCTGGATGCAGCCTCTGGCCACCAGAGCTGCCAGCAGAGCTGGTCTGTGTTTCACAGCACTCTGAGAAGGTGGCCACAGGGAGCTACTGCCCCGGCCACTGCACTCACATGTGGCCTTGACCTGGGTGGGCATTGCGGCTGGGGGCTCCCACCCAAGCCCCTCCCTGGTCCCCTACAGGTGCTGATCCCGGTGTTTGCGCTGGGCCGTGCTCAGGAGCTCTGCATCCTGCTGGAGACCTTCTGGTAGGTACAGCTGGGCTGGCTCCAGGGAGCCCGGGACTCGGTGGGTGGATGGGAGCGGACGCCTGTGCCTGTGAGATGGCCATTCAGCACACAGCATGGGCCATGCGATCTTCCTGTGTCCAGCCGGCTGGGCCTCGGCCTGGCTCCACGCAGAGGGCAGGCTGCAGCGACGTCAACACAGCACTCACGGGCAGGGCGCCCGATGTCCACGGCGCCTGCCCAAGCCAGGAGGCCTGCGACGGCACGCGGGCACCATCTTCCCATGCGTGGCCTCCGTGCACGTCAGCCCCCACATTTGTTGGAGGAGGTGGGCTGAGGGCACCGGCCTGCTCAGTCATGGGGCGGGAGACAGCCAAGGGCGTGGGGCTGACGTGACGGCTGCTGCCCTGTCCCCAGGGAGCGCATGAACCTGAAGGCGCCCATCTACTTCTCCACGGGCTTGACGGAGAAGGCCAACCACTACTACAAGCTCTTCATCACCTGGACCAACCAGAAGATCCGGAAGACCTTTGTGCAGAGGAACATGTTCGAGTTCAAGCACATCAAGGCCTTCGACCGCGCCTTTGCCGACAACCCGGGCCCGATGGTGAGGCCCTGGCCGAGGTGCAGGCCTGGCTGTCCTGTGCTTGCTGCAGCCGGGCTGTGCCATGTGTGTGCGTCTCTTCCCTGTGGGGCACGCTGGGGCACCTGCAGGTCTCCCTGGGGAGTGGGCACACCTGCACTGGGGACAAGATGAGGTGAGAGGGTGGGGCCTGGGGTGGGCACAGGGTCAGACTGCTCTGAGGGTGGCGAGGGGCTGGGTCTGACTACCCCTCGGCCACCCGCAGGTCGTGTTTGCCACACCAGGGATGCTGCATGCTGGCCAGTCGCTGCAGATCTTCCGGAAGTGGGCGGGGAACGAGAAGAACATGGTGAGGGTCTGGCCCCAGGGCAGCTCCCTGGAGCTCCCCCCGCCCCCCACCTGGGGACAGGCCTGCTGTGCCAGGCAGGGCCTCCCCCACCCCTTGGCCACCAGCAGGGGTCATGGTGGTGAGGCCTGGGCAGGCTCGTGCTTGAGACCCCCGTCTGTCCAAGTCTGTAGTGGGGCTGGCAATGGGTTCAGGTTCCGAGGGGCAGCAGGTGGGCTGGGGCATCGGGAGGTAGCAGGCCATGCAGATGGCCAGCAGCTCCGTTCTCTCTGCCGCAGGTCATCATGCCTGGCTACTGCGTGCAGGGCACTGTGGGCCACAAGATCCTCAGCGGGCAGCGCAAGCTGGAGATGGAGGGGCGGCAGGTGGTGAGTCCCAGCCTCCCCAGTGCTCTCGGGGCCTGCTTGGGTGGAGGGTGACGGCCCGTGTGTGCTGTGACGCTGCAGCTCGAGGTCAAGATGCAAGTGGAGTACATGTCATTCAGCGCCCACGCGGACGCCAAGGGCATCATGCAGCTGGTGGGCCAGGCGGAGCCGGAGAGCGTGCTGCTGGTGCACGGCGAGGCCAAGAAGATGGAGTTCCTAAAGCAGAAGATCGAGCAGGAATTCCGTAGGCAGCGGGGCAGGTGGGCTCGGGGTGCAGAGGGATGTGGGCAGGGCTGGGCAGCCCCGCTGAGGCTCTCTTCTCTGGCCCAGGGGTCAGTTGCTACATGCCGGCCAATGGCGAGACGGTGACACTGCCCACGAGCCCCAGCATCCCTGTGGGCATCTCGCTGGGGCTGCTGAAGCGGGAGATGGCACAGGGTACGCGGGGCAGGCACTTGGGCGGGGTGGGGCCAGGTGGAGCAGGCGGACCCCGCTGATGGCTCCCACCCCCGCCCTCTTCTCTGCAGGGCTGCTCCCTGACGCCAAAAAGCCCCGGCTCCTGCACGGCACCCTAGTCATGAAGGACAATGTGAGTGCGCGGAGGGGCCATCATGCTGGGGTGGTTGGGGGGCCCTCCCGTGCTCCCTGACCTGCCCCTGTCCCGCAGAACTTCCGGCTCGTGTCCTCAGAGCAGGCCCTCAAGGAGCTGGGCCTGGCTGAGCACCAACTGCGCTTCACCTGCCGCGTGCATCTGCACGACCCTCGCAAGGAGCAGGAGATGGCCTTGCGCGTCTACAGCCACCTGAAGAGGTGGGCCTGGCCCCGCCCCTTGTGGCCCTGGGGGTGGGGCGCCAGCGGGCTGGGGTGGGGCCTCACCAAACCTTCCCACAGCGTCCTCAAGGACCACTGCGTGCAGCACCTTCCCGATGGCTCCGTGACTGTGGAGTCCATCCTCATTCAGGCCGCTGCCCACTCAGAGGACCCAGGCACCAAGGTGCTGCTGGTCTCCTGGACCTACCAGGTTTGTGACAAGACCCAGGAGGGCTGGCCCCTGGCAGCACGTTAGAGACCAATGGGGTAGGTTGGGGGGCTTGAGATAACAGCCCCTCACTCCTGTCCTAGGACGAGGAGCTGGGGAGCTATCTCACGTCCCTGCTCAAGAAGGGTCTGCCCCAGGCTCCCAGCGGAGGCAGCTGACCAGCCACCGCCGCCCTCTGCCCAGCCATAGGGACGTGGGCTTCCACTCCAGGACCATGTTTCAGCCTTGGGTCTCCCCTCTGCGGGTGTGAAGCCCACAGGTGGCCACAGCCTTCGTCCGTGGGGACCAGTGTCACATGTCTGCCCAAGTGGGCGTTTTCGGCTGCAGAAATAAATGGCTCTGAAGCCCCTTTACCTTTTATTTCTACTTTTGGGTCTGGGGTGTTAATGCACATTACACGCTGAACCAAAGGCTGCTTGTGTTTTTCCTTCATGATGCTGACATCCGTTTCCCATGCCCACCCCTGGGGCAGCCCACCTGGGGCAGATGGGCACCCAGCGCACAAGGGACTCAGGGAGACGGGAGGCCTGCTGTGGCCCCAGACACTTGAGTACTTGACAGAGCGGGTCACAGTGGTCCGGCTAGTGGGCTGTGGCAGCCCTGAGGTTCGCTGGGCGTTGAGGGTCATTTGCTGCTTCAGTGCCATGGACCCCACAGAGCACTTGAGGCCGGCAGCTTTGGAATCGCTGGAGGCAGGATCTGTGGACAGACCCTGGGTCAGCTTGGAGCCCCTTCTCCCTCCGTGAAGACCCCCTCTCAGACCCCCTCCCCCAAGGGGCCAGGTCAAGAGTGGGCGTGGGCTGGGGGAGCCCGGCACTCACTCACTCCAGGCCGCCTGCCTTTGCGCTGCTGGTCTCTGGCCTGAAGTCTCCCAGCAGAGCTGGGCTTTCCTGCTGGGCAGAGGCTGGATTCCTGGCCGCTGTAACGACACAGACGAGCTGTGACAGCTCTACCACCAAGAGCCCCTCCAGCAAGGACCCAGCCTGGAGGGTCGGCCAGTGCGGTACAGACAGGGACCTTCCCAGGCCACGTCCTCTCACCCAGGTCCTCAAGGTCTCTGTATAGCACCGACTTCAGGAACAAGCCATGGGCTGGGGCCACACGTGTCTGATGCCTGCCCAGTGGGTCCCGGCTCTCCAGAATCACCTTCACTTGAGTGGGTGTCAAGGCCCCCAACCCTACGGCCACAAGGATTGCTGTCATTCTCCGCACCTGCAACCCAAGGCCAAGACTGCCACAGTGGCCTGAGCCCCTGCCCCCACCCCCGGGATTACCCCAGGACAGAACCTACCTGTCTGTACAGGAAAGACTGGCTCTCAAACTCCAGCGTCCAGAACTGCAACCTCCTGGGGACACAGGTACCTGTGACGTCCGGGCCACAGGGCAGCCCCAGACCAGTTTGGCCCCAGACAAGGGAAGTGGGCAGGGCAAGGGGCCTGGAAAAACTTTCCCATCCTCTCTTCATCCCAGGAGCCTCTACTGACCACCCACCCCTGAAGGAGACCAGTAGGAGGGAGATTGTTTGAGAGAGCGAGGGGCAGCAGAGCCTTCCTGGGCCTTGCTGTGGGGATGGAGCCCTCAGGCAGAGGAGCTAAGGTCCTGGCAACTGGCTCTGGGGCAGCTGAGGGAGGGGAGTGTGGCCAGCTCATCTGCTAGAGACCCAAGCCTCGGGCTGGGGGCTCTTTGGCGTGACTCCAAGGCTGACAGTGCAGAAGTGCCTCTTCCCTTCAGTGTTGGCCCGAACTGGGAAGGTTCTAGAAGTCAGCAGCTGCCACGAGGCTGGAGGCCCCTGAGACAGTGCTGGGGCAGAAGGACCAACCCCCGTCAGGCTGGGCCGGAACCACTGGCCTGGTGCTCCTCCCCCAGTGGGACCTTTTCAGCAGCTGCCAAGACCCATCCACTAGGCAGTGAACTCTGGGCAAGGCGGGCAGCCCTCAGAGAAAGGCAGCATTCTCCGTGCTCTGTGCCCCAGCTTGGCAGGGACCCCGGCCTGGGGGGAGCGCACAGCTGCAGTTCGTGGGCATCACTGAGCAGCCCAGCATGCCCCACAGGTGTCTAGGGAGCTCCCAGGCTGGCCACGTCCTGCCTCTGCACTGCCCTTGCCAGGGACAGTGCTGAAGCTAAGTCCAGGCCCCACTATCTCCAGACGAGTGTGCAAGCTGCCCCTCCTCACCTGCTCTCCTGGGGGAGGACAAAGGGGCTGGCTGGGTCGGGGGACACTGAGGCTCGGCGCAGTGTGCGCACAGAGCTAGTGGATGGACTGCCGGCTGATTGGAAGGCGCGGAAATCATGTGTCCCCAGGAGGTGTTGGGCAGCTTCCTGCATGGCAGCCACATCCAAGCAGCTGCAGGGAGCCAGGTGAGCGGTTAGGAGGAAGTCGCCAGCCAGGTGGGCCTGGCAGCACCCCCACTCACTCTCACATCTGCAACTCACTCAGCCCGTAGTGCCCAGCATCGGTTTCGCTCAAACACTGACAGCTGGCTAGGCCCGGGACAGCCGGTGGCCAGGCGGTACAGGTAGGTCCTGGACGTGGCTGCATAGCGGGCATGGAAGTCGCTGGGCACTCGGAAGGCCTGCAGGACCCTGTGGAAGTAAGGGCAGGCACACCAGAGGAATGAAACCCCCACAAGTGACACCTATCCAGACAAAGTCCTTTCTGACCAACGCGGTGGGGGTGGGGGGGAGAGCAGAACGCTGCGCACCGGATGGCAGGGTGGCGCAGGTGGGTGTTGAGGGCCTGGGTCAGGACCTCAGGGGAGAAGGGCGGCTGGCCTGAGCGGCGCTGGACATCCAGGTGCGCAGCGTTGCTCAGGGCGTGGACTCCAGCATCTGTGCGGCTGGAGATGATAAACTTGACCGGCAAGACCGAGTTCAGCCTCTCTGCGGCCTCCTGTGGGGACAGAGCCGCCGGGGGCGGAGCGGGCAGCGCGATCGAGGACCAGAGCCCCGAGGAACCGCCCCCTGTGCTCCAGAGGCGCGGGGCTCTCATCTGCCCGTCCCCGGGGTCGCCCCCCTCCATCCCGGGGGACGGGCCAGCGGAGCTCACCTCTAGGTAGTTCAGGACCCCGACGGCACGCTGGGTTCCCCTGACGGCCGCGACCCCGCTGTGGGCAGAGGCAGGCGCAGGTCAGCGGGCGGCAGACCGTCCGGCCCCAGACCTGCCCCATGAGACCAACGCGGCCATTTCTTCCTCGGTGTTGGGGCACGAGGCCAGACGTGCGGATCCTAAATATAGCTCCCACCCTCCCCTCGGGCGCCGGGAGGTCGGCAGCCGTCGGTGTCCAGCTCCGGTGCTTCCCGCGGCGCCAGGTCGCGTGGGGGGGGGTGTTGCGGGCACGGGAGGGGTCCGGACGACGTACTTAAAGTCCGTGCCTAAGTACTGGAAGTACACGAGGTAGCGCGCTCGCACCGAGTCTGCGGCCCGGCCGGAACCCATGGCCCGACGGGTCCGGAGGGAGAGGAGCGGGGCGGAGCCGGACCGGGCCGAGCGGGTGCCGCACGTGGGCTCTGCGCGCGCGCGCGCGCACGCAATCTGGTCACGGCCCCCGTCGCTCCCACGCCTGCGCTTTTGCGTTCGCTCCGCCCCGGCGCCGGGCACACCCGCCCCACAGCGGCCAGGGGCGGGGGAGCGGAGGCGGGGTCAGGCTTAGGGAGCGGGTGCAAAGCGCAGGCCCGCGGCGGGGCGCGTGGGTCCGACTCCGCTCGGGCTGCGGCGTCCTGGGGGACGCTCTCACAACCTCGCGGTGACCCACACACTCTCGCGTGTGTGCACTCACTCGCCCGCCCACCTGCCCACTCACTCGATCCCCGTCCTCACCGAGCGTGTCCGTCCGCCGCGCTCCGGCCAAGCGGGTTTGGCAAACGCCTCAAGTTGCGCAACGGCTGGTTCGCTGGAGAGAGCGAGACCCGCGCCCTCCCCGCGCCTGCAACCCGGCCGACGGCTCCCAGAGCCCCACCGTGGTTGGGCCCGCCTACCTTCCCGACCCGGAGTGGCCCGGGAACGAAGGAGGGCGGGACGTCGGGGCGCCAGGGTGGGAGC